ACAGCGCTTTGTCAGCAGGAGCCCTCTCCTGAGGACAATGCAAACGCCGCTCATTGGGGGTGGAAATCTTTTTGTCAGCGGGAGAGCTCTCTGCTGCCGACAAACAGCAGCTACACTGAGTGCCTTTTAGCGGCACGGCTGCAGCCGTTGCTAAAAGCTGCATAGTGTAGACGGATAGCCTAAAAATCATGGACTTAATAAAGGACACTGGATTTATGGCTCCTTACAACAATCTATAACCCACTAACCCTCCTTTGGGCTACAATTGCAGAGGTGTTAACTGCCCACTTCACCTTGAATGGTCTTTTATAATCTGTTAACTCCTTATGCTAAACAATCTGTTCCACCTTGTATTTAGCTGCCACGCTCTATGTTTCCCAGACCTGATGAAGAGCTCTGGGTAAAATCCAAAACTTGTCATTTGGTCCAATAAAAGGTATTACCTCACCCACCTTGTCTCTTTAATCTAATGCAACATTTAAGTCATTTTTAAAAAACTGTATTTAAGTTATATTTATTCTATATATGCCTACAGGTTAGTATAGGCACATGCATCCGACGAAGTGGGCATTCACCCACGAAAGCTTATGATCCAATACATCTGTTAGTCTTAAAGGTGCCACAGGACTCTCTGTTGCTTTTTAATGTAAAGTAAGTAAACTACACAATTATTACAATCCGTTCAGAAGAAAACAAAATGAAAATGTAGCAAACATCTCTAATGTAATTAGCTGCTTCTTATACTTCAAAAACAATTCTGATAAATTTAGGTATTCGTGCTTAAATATACATTTTTACACAGAAAGGGCCAAATCCTGCAAACCTCTGTTCATCCATGTACCTCCACTAAAATTTTGGAACTACTTAAGTGAGATAATCTAACTCAGAACTGGTCTACTGGATAAATACTGTATTTACCAGATGCCAATATCAAAGCTGAACTACAAAGCAAATTACATACCCCCCCCCTCCAAAAAAAAAAAAAAAAAACCCCAAACCACCACATTTAAATATATTAATCCAAGGAGAATTTGGCAAAAACAACGGAACTCAAAGTTATGACGGACCGCACAAAATTCATGTCATGGTGAAGAACAAAAACCCTCACATCAGCTTAATTAAAGGATTCTTGTTTTGCATACCTGTGCTTTCACTAACTTGTGTTCCTCGGCTACACCGAGATGCTTTTTTGGGGGGTAATTTTCTATTATTGATAAATACTTGCTCTTTCAGAAGCTTGAAATGTTTTTTACACTATTTATTTGGCAATTGACGGATCCTCTTCTGATCTTTGAGGCTATATATGATATCTGATTTGATCAGTGAAGAACTTTTGGGATCCAAGGAACTATAAGTAAATTACAGACAAACAACAAAATTGTTAGCAAAAGTCAATGGGACTACATGTAGCGTGCAAAATAAAGCGTGTGGGTAAGTCTTTGCAGGATCAGGACTCTTACTCCCAATTTCTGAATATTTACTACAGGTGCTGATGCACAAGACAAAAAACCCACTGCAAGTGTTAGTTTTCAATTGCAGGTAAAAAAAAAAAAAAATCTACATTTTATTTGTAAATTGAACAAATCCAATATGGAAAGGAACACCAAGTTGTTATTTCAAAGTTTGTTTTCAGAACTGTACACACTTTGTGCAGACAACAAAAGTTTAAATATTAATGAAGACCCATTCTGTACTATACATTTTTATACAGCAATACAAAAGAATATTGACTTTAACTGCGTAAAAAGTATAGATTAAGAAAAATATTTTTTACTGTTATGGAGTAGAATAATAAGTATTTTGAAATTAAAATCTGGCTGTAAGAACAGCGTTTATTCTGTACTGGACCCTTTAGGCTGATAAGTGGTGACTGAATTTGGAAGAACTTGCTCCTTGCTGCTAATTTACCCAAAATTTTATTTCCTGAGCATGCATAACTGTGTTTATAGTGAAATAAAAATCAACAGAGCAAAGTGGCAGCAGGAACAGATATCACTCCATAGATCAAATTCTACTCACTACATTGAAATTGCACTTGTGTAACCAAGAGGAGAATAAGAGCCCAAAAATATCAGTTAATTGCTGAAATAGGAGCTCTCTAAGTATTTTTTCTGCCCAATCAAAGCAATGACTTTTTAAAAGTTCTCTCAGTAAATGAAATGATTTTTTTTTTAAAGTTATGCTAGTCCAGATCTACTGTCAATCTCTCCAGCTCCATTGAAGTTTGTGGAGTTATACAAGAGAGGAGGATCAGACACTTGCATGCATGCATACAATCTCAAAGATATTCTCCTACAAGAAGTGCCTTAGTGACTTTGGAGCCTAAATACCATTGCCTTTCAATGAGACTTAGGAACTTCTGAAAATTTCACCTTACCATTTTAACACAAACCAAATGTTGAGTAATAGGTATACAGTTTTCTTCTTTTATAACATTCATTTATAGCACCCATCACCAAAGTATCTAGTGACCTCAATTAAAGTGTAGATTTTTAAAAAACATGTACACAATATCTATCTAAAACTAAAAGTCGGTGAGAATTGATTTTGATTATGCTGATGCCCAATTACAATAAAATACCGTATATACTCATTCATAAGCCGAATTCTTTTAGTAAAAAAAGGGAAGCACCAGAGAAGGGGGTCGGCTTCTGAACGGGTATAGCGAGGGAAAGGTGGGACACAGCCCCTCCCCCCAACAGAGGGAGCAAGGAGAGGCAGCACAGCCAGCAGAGACAGAAGGGAAGAGGCGGGGCCAGAGTCTCTCCGCTTCTGGCCACGCTGCTCTCCCCCCAGCCTCCGAAGCAACTGCAGCTCCGGGGCTGGCACGCTGCAGCCATGCCGCTCGGCCCTGCCCCCCAGAGCAGGCTGTGACCATGCCGCCCGGCCTGCCGGAGGACGCTGCGGCCATGCCGCCTGGCCCAGCCCGCTGGCACATGCTGCGGCCGCACCACCCAGTCTGGCCCGCTGGAGCAGGCTGCGGCCGCGCCGCCCAGCCTGCCAGAGCAGCTCCAGCCAGGCCAGAGACATCCTCCCCTGGCTCTCCCCAGATAAGGTGGGATGGGATGGGATGGGATGGGGAGAGCGTGGGGGTCCCGGGCAAGGGTCACGTGGGGGGTGGTCACAGAGGTTACTCCCCTGACCCCCAGCTTCTCCCCCCAAAAAAATTTCCCCACCAGTTGCTGTCCCGGCCAGTCAGGGTAAGCAGCTGGTGCACCGGGACACTTTGTTTACTTAGGTTTACCCCCGTGCCTTCGGGCGCTCGAGGTAAACAAACCATCTTGGCCCACCAACGACTTATCCTGATGGCCCGGGAGCCAAAGTTTGCTGACCCCTGAATTATAGGGTCGGCTTATGAACGGGTCATAAAATTTTTCCATTTTTACTTATCCATCTTGGGGGGGTCGGCTTATAAACAAACCAGCTTATGATCGAGTATATACACTAGGCCCTATCCACTTTGGGCCTCCCAAGAGTTTTAAAAAAAAAAATCAAGATGTGGACAGCAATAAGAATGACTGAAATAAACTGAACTTCATATGGATGAACTTACTTAAAATGGACTCATTATAAGAAATCATTTACAAACAAACATGATAAACCTACCAGTTCTCCAGTTATAAAACATGCTATTTTCTAAAAGTAGAAGACATTACTTTCAGATATTAGATCCTCTATATATGTTATTTGCCAGAAAAAATATATCTCAATGCTCTGTCTTTTTTTCCCCCTCCTAACAGGTTTGGGAATCTTACCTATTTAACGGCATGCTGCCCTAGCTAAATGATGAATCCTGCCTATTGCTTTCAAATGCACCAACCTTCTCAAAAACACTGGATGGTGTCATCAAACAAAACCTGATGTTCTGAATGATGGTGTCGGTATGTCTCCAGCGTCTTCTATCATGCCGCAGCCAAGCCTGAACAGCCTCGTACAGCTCTATCTCTGGAAACCTGCTCAGATGATCATTATCCAAATAAGACATAAGCTTTTCAAAGCTCAGATAGGACAAGAAGTCAGGTCTGGACATGAGTGGCACAAAATTCTCTAGCAGAAAGGAGTCCAACTTTTCCCTGACTCCATCGATGTTTACACCAAAATCATCTAATAGTCTCATAATTTCTGCACAGTTTTCTAAGCAGATTTTTGCTAAAAGAAAAGAGCAGCAGAACTTCACCACCTCTATAAGCTGAACATACATGGCAGCCTGCAGAATCTCATGAACAGTGTTCATGCTCAGTTCAATGTTTCCGTAGTACATGAATTGGAGGACGTGGCTGAAGCCTGTGGCAGTCAGACCTTTCAAATGGATTTTATCTTGATCTCGCTCCCTCATGTCGGCTGTGAACATAATCCTGAAGTAATCACTCTGGGTGGCAAGCAGGGCTTTATGGGCCTGAAACTGGTGGTCTTCAATGACAAGAGTGACGTCAAGAAGCAATCCCTCCTCATACAGTGCTCTGAACCCAGCAGAGACACTGGTATCATGGATGGCGGAGCTAAACCCTTCCACGTCCCCTGCCATGAATCACCTGAAAAAAAAAGGAATCAAAGCAGAAAGTGTTATTTCTAAGAGTTTACAGAATACAAGCTTTTCCAGACCAGATGAACCGTAACATTAATATCAATTTGCTAAATGTCAATGAAAATAAATTATCTACAAAAAAACCCCTTCGGTGGGCCACCCTTGGCAGAAAACATCCAGTTTTAAATCACTTGTTTTGTTTTACAGCCTTGAAAATCAATTTAACCAACAAAAATGCAGCTAGAACAAGTTTCTAGATATCAAGTGTAAGATGATACATTTATTTCAAATTTCTGGTGCTAAAAGCAGATTAATGTGCAAATGAGATAATACTATATAAATTCTATTGATTTTACATCACTCTATGGTCAGATAATTATGTAATGCCTCCAAAAGCTAGTCACATTGCATGTTTCTTTCCATAGTGATCCCCATAAGAACATATCACTGGAGAGCACAAAACAAACACTTAAGATATTAAAGGCATCTGAAAGGAAGAGAAACTTCTTCATCTTAAAAAAAATAAGACTCAAAAGGCCTTTACAAAGCAATAATTTTTAAACGCTTGTTATAGTAGAAGGTGAAAGTATTTCAATTCTCTCTATTAGGTTGTTCATGGAAACAAAGCATTTTGATCAAGTGACTTAGTCTCTATCTTCCCCCACTGTAAAATGGAGATAATTATTTTTTATCTACATCATAGTGCTATTTGTGAGGCCTAACTAGATAACAAGTCTGATGAAGTGCAAAATATACATGGGAGTGCAAAATATTAAGGCCATCAGAAGCACAGTTGAGCAAATATTTCCGTACGTGTTGGGGGGTTGTTAAGGCTCAACCGCATATTAAGCACTCGATGCTTCTCAGATGGAAGGCATTACATATGTGCTAAATATTTAAAGGCAAAATATACATGGGAGTAGGAAATTGAAAAGTAGAGTATGATGGGACACCACCTTATAGGGATTTGGGAAGACACCTAGTCAGAAAAAAAAAAGACCTTATTCAATATCTAGGATTTACTTAAATGGGCAAGAGTTTCAGCCTTAACACTGAAATTTTTGGCTTTTTCCAGTTTAAGCCAAGCCATTAACTTTGAGGTGTGAATGTTTTTATATTAATTTAATAAAATTGCCCTTAACTCTGAATTTCCTGCAACAGTCATTACATTAAATTAGTTTTCTGTATTTAATTTAAAAACTAAATGGGTTGTTGGCACAAACTATTTAAAAATGAAATATATTACAGTGGTGATAAATATAAGAAACCACTAATTTTCAAAAATCATTTCTATAAAACTTAAAAATTACCAAACTGATTATATTTAAATATTATGAAGACACAAAAATGGCTCATACCTGGTATGCCAAGTGTCACAGTTTTAAGACAGTGGTCATAATTAGGGCCCTACTAAATTCGTGGCCATGAAAAATGCATCATGGACCATGAAATCTGGTCTCCCCTGTGAAATCTGACTATTGTAGGGGGTTGCAGTATTCCCACCTTTCCTTCTCTGCTGCTGGTGGTGGTAATGCTGCCTTCACAGCTGGGCGTCCGGCCAGCAGCCGTCATGTACTGGCCACCCAGCTCCGAGGTCAGTGCAGAAGTAAGAGTGACAATACTGCAATCCCGCTACATTAGCCTTGTGATAGCCCCCTCTTTCCTCCCCCCACCCCGATACCCTCTTTTGGGTCAGGACCCCCCCAGTTACACCACCAGGAAATTTAAGATTTTTTAAATCCTTTCTTTGTGAAATTTACCAAATGGATTGTAATCTGATAGGGCTCTAGTCATAATGTTGTCCCCACTCTAAGCCTCACATCTTGACAACTGTCATTTTAACTGAAAATTACTAGAGGGGATTCTGTATGCAGCTCATTCTCCCCATTCCTTAACTGATAGCACAGAAAGGAAAAAAAATGCAGCCTACCTCAAGTTCAAATGATGAGTGGGCATTTACAGCCCTGTCCAAAAACATTAGGCTATTTCCACATTGTTGGATCCTGCTGGCAATCTTCAGGCACAGCAGTACTGACACAGAAGTGTGCTCTACATGAAATACAGGTTAATCCCTGAACCCTACTAAAATTTCCATCAACAGGAGTAGCAGCAGCAGAGTGAAAATGACAATTATTTCAGTAAGTTTCCTTCCACATTCATGATGGGGACAGGCTACATTCAGGGTCAGTGGAGGAACAGGTATGATCGCCCCCAATGTCAATCTACAGAGAGAAGAGAAACTGTCCATCGTCACCCCAACACCTATAACTGTGAGACATCATACCTCTGCCGCTCCTGCATATAGCATGTCCCCACCAGCAGAATGAAAACAACTGAAGTCATGTTATTTTCCCTCCTCTGCTGCTCTTACTAAGGAAAACTACTATGACAAGCACATGAGAATGAGCACTATTGGGCGTGGGAAGGGGGGAGAAAGAACCATGCCCCAAGCTCCTCACCCCCAACATCACCAACACCTCAAAAGAAAAGGAGCAGAAAACAGAAACAACAGAAGTCCTCTCCCCAATGAGGGAAAAGGATTTGCCTAGCAAAAATTAAGGAAAGTTCCACTGGATGGTCAATGGCAGCACATATTTGTCTGGTAACAACCTAATCTGGGGCAGGCAAACTACATCCCGCGAGCCTAATCGTTTTCAGTTGGCCCGCGAGCTCCCGCTGGGGAGCCGGATCTGGGGCTTGCCCCGCTCCAGGGTGTCAAGTCGCGGGCTGCACCATGCCGCTCGGCCCCGCTTCAGCACTCTAGCATGGTCAGAGGCCGCTCCATGCGTAGGAGCCAGAGAAGGGACGCCACTGCTTCCGGGAGCCGCTTGAGGTAAGCGTCGCTCGGAGCCTGCACTCCTGAGCCTCTCCCCACGCCCCAACCGTCTGCCCCAGCCCTGATCCCCCTCCCGCTCTCCAATCCCCTCGATCCCAGCACGGAGCACCCTCCTGCATCCCAAACCTCTCATCCCCAGCCCCACCCCAGAGCCCACACCTCCAACCAGAGCCCTCACCCACTAGTAGGCTCTACGGCTGCATCAGGCTCACCCTCCATGGTTTAATATATAGGTATCATGATGTAGGGTCTCTGGAGTTAGAAAAGGAAAGAAATAGGTAACAACAGGGTGCCTTGACAGACTGCTTCATAATGCTCTAAAGAAAGTTGGAAGACAATTAAACAAGAAGGGTGAAAATGCACAGAAAGAGATTGGCAGAAAGGGGAGGGACAAAAAATGCACCACGTTCAAAGGAGCATTTGCTGATTTGCACTGCTGCTCTTCAGACAGAGAGATTCAGAGAAAGGAAGAGGGAAACATGCCCTTACATTTTAGCATAGTGATTACATTCAAGATTTTCATCCATCCATCCCACTGTGATTGTTAAATAGTTAAGTAACTGAAAGCACTTGGAAATAAAGTACCCCCCCCCCTTAAAATTCTGAATTTACTCTATTTGAAGAGTAGGATGGCTGAAGGTGAGGTGGAAAACATCCTCACAATACATAAAAAAATAACCCTGTCTTCAAAGCGTAACTGCTAAAATTCCACTGACATCTTTGGGTCTCCAAAACATCTGCCATCCTGTAAAAATTAGAGTGTTCATTTCCATTTCTAGCCTAAGACTCAATCATGTTAATGCAAGCTGCCAAACACTAACGTTTCAAAAAGAGTTTAACATTACGAATGCTGCTTTTAAAAGGAAAAAAAGTAGAGCATTTAACAAAGACAGATGAAGGATTATTTTTAGTAAATCTTCATTTACCTATCCCAAAATACTTTGCCTTCTGCGTGTCAGATACTATTAAACTCACTTGTCAAGTTTGTAACCAGATTTTTAAGAAATGTGGGAGAAAAGATATTGAAGGAGACTCCTCCATCTTAACACAATGTAAAAAATCCTCAGAGCCCCTCTAGTCTCACACAATTTGTACTGAGAGAGTGGAAAGAAAAAAAAACAAAAGCTATGCATCTTCTACCCCATTAAATACATATCTTGCCACATAACGACACAAGTCAGCGGCACTGCTATGAGTACCCGCATGGCCCCACAGTATACCAACATTTTTATGGCTGACTTAGAACAACACTCCCTCAGCTCTTGTCCCCTAACGCCCCTACTCTACTTGCGCTACATTGATGACATCTTCATCATCTGGACCCATGGAAAAGAAGCCCTTGAGGAATTCCGCCATGATTTCAACAATTTCCATCCCACCATCAACCTCAGCCTGGATCAGTCCACACAAAGAGGTCCACTTCATGGACACTACAGTGATAATAAGCAATGGCCACATAAACACCACCCTATACCGGAATCCTACTGATTGCTATACTTACCTACATGCCTCCATCTTTCATCCAGACCACATCACATGATCCATTGTCTACAGCCAAGCTCTAAGATAGAACCGCATTTGCTCCGATCCCTCTGACAGAGACAAACATCTACGAGATCTCTATCAAGCATTCTTAAAACTATAATACCCATCTGCTGCAGTGAAGAAACAGATTGACAGAACCAGAAGAATACCCAGAAGTCACCTACTCCAGGACAGGCCCAACAAAGAAAGTAACAGAACGCCACTAGCCTAGCCCCCAACTAAAACCTCTCCAGCACATCATCAAGGATCTACAACCTATCCTGAAGGACGATCCCTCACTCTCACAGATCTTGGGAGACAGACCTGTCCTCGCTTACAGACAGCCCCCCAACCTGAAGCAAATACTCACCAGCAACCACACACCACACAACAAAAACACTAACCCAGGAACCTATCCTTGCAACAAAGCCTGTTGTCAACTCTGTCTACATATCTATTCAAGGGACACCATCATAGGACCTAATCACATCAGCCACACCATCAGAGGCTCGTTCACCTGCACATCTACCAAGGTGATATATGCCATCATGTGCCAGCAATGCCCCTCTGCCAAACCGGACAGTCTCTATGCAAAAGAATAAATGGACACAAATCAGACGTCAAGAATTATAACATTCAAAAA